CGTTGCGTCTCCCGCACGCACGCAGTACATCCTCCATTATGCATCGGTCGCGATGAGAGCGCAGCAAACAAACAAACAAACAAACACGATCGAACAAACCCGGATCGGCTCCAAGTAAATCAGGGCGTATCCGTCACTCGTCCCCGACCCGTCCCAGTCCGGAGTGAGTATAAGGGATTGTCCATTATTGGCAGAGAGGGCTGCCGCAACCAGCTCCTGGTTTTAATAATAATAAAAAAAAACGAGAGGGAAAAAAAGACGAACAAGACGAGCAACCGCGTCGCGCCAACGGAGAGCGGAGGGATGAAGAAAAAGAGAGAGAGCCGGGCTGGCCGATGAGCAATGCGATCTGCGAGCGGCTTGTGGCGTTTAGCAGTAGCGCGGCAGCCGGCCGGGGGCCGTCCGCAAGAAACCAGTGTGGTCAGTCTGCACATGGCGACGGCCGGGGCCGGGCCGGGCTAGTGATCGAAGGCACGCCAGGTAGGCCCTCGAGGGCTCCCTCCCCCGCCCGTATCTCGCCCGCTCTTGAGGTGTCGGTATATCTCTAGATCTCTAGCCGTGCATCAAAGCCGGCGGCTCAGCGGGGCTGCCTACCTGGCGAGCCTGCAGGGGGCGGGGCAGTGCAGTGCAGCGCAGCCAGCGCAGAGCGGCCTCTATCACGCACGCCCCATCACAGTCACTCCGTCAATACCCCATTCTTTAGGTGCGTCGCGACGCGGCGGCAGCTCGGCGCATTCTACGCAGGCACGCCCAGCCAGCAAGGGCAAAAGAACAGGGGGTAGCGTAGCGACACGACAGCGTCCTGCCCGGCACAGCCGCAGCGCGGCTATCTGTTGCTGCTTTTGTTGTTTTGTTCGCCGTGTCCTTCTTCTCTCTCGCCTTTCTCTTTCTCCCTCTCCCCCACACTCCCCCCCTGTCCTCTGAGCCCCAAAGACGCACGGCCGGACGCATCCTGAGGGAAGGCGAAGGAGAGGAAAAGAGGGAAGGACAAGAGAAATGTAAAGGGGGAAGGGGGGGGGGCACACATACAGCCTCCCTCCGAGCACAGGCGACTGGCCGGCCTGCAAGCAGGAGCAACAGGACCATCAGGACAGGGGAATGCAAATCAGGAGTGCCAACACAATAAAGCAAATAAACAACAATCGAGACAAGGGCATTGCCGGCCGGGCGGTTGGTGGAGATGGTGGCACCAACCACCGGCCGCCCGCGAGCCCTCTGTCCTGTGCGTACGGCCCAGGCGGGTGAGGGGATGTATGCAGTAAAAAAGGAATGACAGTACACGAAGTGCGAAATGCCATAATGACAACGCACGTCGGTTTTCACACGGCTGTTCGACGGATAATCATCAGTAAGAAGCGAGGAAAATTGAATGCTAAGAACCTGATAGAAAATAGAGCTGAAACAAAACACTGAAAATGTTGATACTGGTTTGGCAGCAAATGAGTGTGAAAAACCTTTTTAGGGTGATAGCCAAACATACCATCAGTATCAACTGGTCTTTGGACTTTCCGCTTAATATAAAAATATTACACCTGCACCGCCAAAGCCACAGCCCCACAAATACGTACTTCAAAAGTAAACTTTGGTACCCTGATCAAATTTCAGTCTGCCGAACAGATAATCATCCATAACATTTAAAAACTTGTTGTTTGACATAGATCTGATCATCGTACTGTCAACTCTCCAAAGACAAGAACAGGCCAGAGAGGCACAATAGTATAAAAACTCATGTAATTTGGTTGCAAAAAAATTGTTGGCAGATAACAGAAATTCTATTTAACATTTAACAATAGTGGGTCATACCACCTGTTGAATATGAGGCAGGTGCATTTTGAATAAAACGTGAATTTTTCTACACCATTGCAAATGAGAAAATAAGTATGAAATAATTTAAGAATTGTAAACAAACTTTGTAAGCCAACTCTGAAATCTACCCAACTATAATTGATTACAATCGGAATGTTAACGCGGTTGTGGTTAGGTTATGTTCTGCGACTTGAGAAATGCAGGGAAAAGATTGTTAAAAGTACTGTGCTAAGACATCCAGAGTCAACCCTTAAACATCAATTTTTTAAAGACATAAAAGCGAACTTATCTTTGAAACCACTCATGGTCATACTGAAATCACGTAATGTCAAATATGTACCATAACAAGGTGCGAACACAGAGACACAGTCGACAAGATACAGTACATACATAATATTCGTACTTACCACAAGTCGGTATCCACGAAACGGTTTCGTCACAGTTCAATATTGAAACAGGAGTCCGTGGAACGGGTCGAAATGATTATCCAGTTGGCTTAAACCATTCCCATTCGTTGGTTGGGGCTCCACTCTTCCAGGAATTCCTACCTCTGGAGATGTACGTCAACGTCACACAACACGAATTGAATCAGGAACCTGCACAGGACAGCGTCACCAAAAGTGCAAACCGACACACAACACAGAAAATCACCCCGTCAATCCGCACACAACTGTGATGTAAAATTCTTGTTTTGTATTTACATTAAGAACGGATATTTGGAACGGCACAAACAGGTTCACGGAGAGCTGGTCGAGGTCTAGTAGTTTCCGTGCATCAGCCGCTAGGGTGCAGCACAAGCAAGGCAGACCAAAATACTAGGAAGACAAAGGACAAACGAACGACATATCCGGCATTCGTCACTTTCCGCGACCGCGCCTCAGTTCAAACGGTTTCGAACGAACATCCGATACATCAGGCCCATTTTGCGAAAGTAAGAAGAAAAATAACATAGCTGGAGAGTTTCCACAAGATTCGTCTCCCAGAACCTTTCCAGATACCAAATAATCGCAAATTAAACCACTTTCCTTCATTCTTTCCGCATTAGCGAGCCGAGATTGTCATACGGTAATTCTCATAGCAAGAACAAGAACTACAAATGACGCAAGGCATATTGGCGCAAAATTTATTGGAAGATAGGCTCATCTGAAAACCTTATTGCAAAACTGCATAACGGCAATAACTACCTTTGTTCTACTTTTCTTCTGGATATATCCTTCTTAATATCTCCGAACTCCGGCGCAAGCCGCAACTCAACAGTTCGCGCATTGTGTAGTCATTTGTTTTCATACAGTGCTGACATCTATATACAGCAGTATTGTAAAGAGCATTTTAGCTGTGAGAAGGTTGCGACCAAAGTGTTGATTTTAGTGATATTAGCGTAACCAAAGGGCCAAAAGCAGAAGATGAAGGTAATACGCCTGCACCTTTATCAGCGGAGTGATAAATTCATCCCCTAAAGCCTTATTTTTCGTAAAAATCCTTCCTCCAACGCTTAGTTGCGGCCTTTTGTTTGAGTGACAAATATGGCGGATCAGAACAGACGTTTCACCATGACTCTTGTCTCTTGAACCCCTGCATCCCATTCATTCCATTAAACCGGTAATTTTACACAGTATTTGCCCTTTGAAGAATTTGCGAGGGAACCCTACTGGGTACGGCGTGTTGTGTTCAAGATCCATCTGACGAATTGTTTTGATGTCATTGGCTTGTCCCTGTAGAGAGGTCAAAAACGTGGTTCTCTTCGTAAATAATAGGCTCTAAGTGTTATGAATTCTCTTTAAGTGACATTTCCGCACGAGTTGTGTGTTGGATGTACCACATGAATCTTTCAGATCATGTTTTTGATCGCGTTATGTACTACGACTCGTAGTCTTGGGTCTGTTTTTTACAGGGCCTGTTTGACACAGTAGTGGGGATTATTTTTGGTTCATGTCAGTATTTTTTCTTATTCGACTCTTTTGTATCACCATTTGAATAATGTCTCCTCGTAAATCTGATGTAATGATTGGGACATGTTATCTTTATCCGTTTTCTCTTAATCTTCCCCAGATATACCCCTTTCATTCAGTGACATTTCCTTATCAATGGTCAATTTTATATACTATCAGTTTGTTGTTTACAGTATTCTCTAATTTAAAGGAGGGTATTGAATCCTCTTGAGTTTGAATCATCTTCATTCTTGTAAAGTGCTCTCACAATATTATGAAATCAGTATCATGACACATTTCATCTTAGGCCTTTTTGTGTGAATGTCAAGTCATAATTTCAATTAATGTACTTTTGAATTTTACATCTTTCTATTTTGATTATTAGATTTTAGCTGTTTCTTTTTATGTATTGCAGGTGCAGTTACTTACATTTATGTCAAAGTTTAGAGTGTGCTAATAACATAACCCTACCATCATGAAGATAGATAGGAGTCGATTGAAAAAAAGCACTTCCGAAGTGGTATGTTCATTTACTATTCACACTTTTGACACATTGTTAGTATTACAAGATTCTAACTGTTCAACAAACATTTTTATGTCTTACAGCCCATAGAATGCCAAGCGTTAATAGAAAAACTGCGTAGCTGCTCCTCCTCAGAACTGCTGGAGGAGCTAAAACGTATCGACTCATGGACCTTTGGAAAATGTGAACTTTTTCATTGGATTGATATATTAGATATTTGTGATGGAATACTGGAAGAAGCCGCCATGAGGGCGGGTGAAAACACCTGGACATTAGCTTGTGATCTCCCACATAAGTCTGAGGTGTGTACTCATTCCTCCAATCCAATTTTTCAATTTAAAAAAATACAATTTAGATGTTATTGATTGTTAACCATGATTTTATTTGTTTTTGTTACAGTTAAAAGAACTGCTGTTATGGGTTTTGCATTTCACCACCCTGCTCATCGAGCATTCATTTTCACGACATCTCTACAACTCAATGGAACGTCTGGTAGCATTATTATCATCCTGTGATATGCATGTTGTCCTTGGCGTTCTAAATCTTCTATACATGTTCAGTAAAAGAAGTAATTTTATCACTCGGCTAGACGGTGACAAACGTCAGGCCCTGTTAAGTCGTTTAACTCATCTGGCAGAGGTATCTAAAAAATTTTTGAAGAAAAGTTGTAGCTTTCAATGTGACAATCTCCTGTCTAATTTACTTAATGATTGTTTTAAAACTCATTTTCAGAGTTGGGGTGGCAGGGATAATGGTTTTGGGCTTGCAGACTGTTGTAAAGACTATCCAATATCAGTAAGTTTACCCATTCCAACTTCTGTAAAAA